CACTATCTCTTGGTGCCAGTCACATCTTCCACTGCGTTTCTCGCTTCAGCCTTCTTCAACTCCTCCTCTACTGTCTTTTTTGTTTCATGCAATTCCCTTGTTAGCCTTCTAAATTGTTCCATGGCCAGATTGGGTTCACTATTTTGGGATTGAGATCTCCCATGCACCAATCGAGTCTTTGCATCTCCAGAAGGATTCAAAACTTCTTGTGCGGATCCAATCATATTTGTAGCTTGATTTTGTTTCGATTCCCACAAATGGCGCCAAATGTTAAAGCGAAATTTCCTAAAAGAAGAAATACCTCCACATATTTGTTGACCGCAATCCTCACGTTCGCCAAATCATTCGTTAAAGATGTCCCCGAATAGTCTTCCTTCGTAGCTTGCCTGTGCGAGGTACCTGCAAGAGATACTCCGATGCTCAAGTCAGTCAATTGATTTTCTATTCTCTGATTTCTCTCAGGTTCTCCTTACGTCCCTTGTTCTTTGGCTCATCTCCCTATTTATGAGATTACATGATTGAGGATCAAATACCACGACATGTCCTCCTTTCCCACTTCCTTCGTGGTCCTCCGTCATATGATTGCATGCCTTAGGAACAAGTACCACGACCTGTCTTCCTCTCCCACTTCTCTTCCGTAGTGGGGGTAGTTATCTAGGCATGTTCCCCTTGTGTCTGTAGGGGTAGTTATCTAGACATGTTTCCCTTGCGTCTATATATTTCTTGTGGGCTTTCCTTATAATTTATCTTGCACAACACCTTCTCCTTGGACGATTAGTATTGGCTCATGAATTCCGAATTTTATCCCCCCACAGTTTCTCAAAGGCCTTCATGTTTAAAGGCTTCTATTGCTGTCGAGATTTGATGCCGTATTAACAATTGTAGATACTACTAATAGCAAACTTCCAATGACAACAGAAAGCAGCACTAATGAATTTATTGTTAATGGTTACATATCCTACATTATCTATACAAATACTAGATACATATGCAGTGGTGTTAGCAATGGTGTAAGCAGTGGCACACTGCAGTTTTGGAAGCAACGGTGTAGTGCATTGTTATATAACAAATACTTGTTACAAATCTTGCATTATTGCTTTTAATTTACTTTTGTGTTGTTAGCTAGGATGGAATTAGTGGTGTATGCTCTTATTATGTGATATGGTTGCGCAACTAGTCATAGTCAAGTAAGGTGTCACGTCTTGTATCCACATAAAGTAGTTTCTTGTTTGAAACTTCCAAATCAGTGAAATCAAACTTGTTGAGGTTCGATAATATGCTGAATGGCGGAAACATGAATGTGATTGGTGTTTTAGGAAATAAAATTTGCATAAACAACAAAGTTAGAACATGTAGGTTCTAAGACATGGTTTGATTTAAACAGATTTAAGCATGGAGAACTTCGGGTCTCAACATGAGTATTACGCATTAAGAAACTTCAGGTTTCTATGGTACTTTTCTGAAACTTCGGGTTCGGAAATATGAACTTCAAGTTCATAATACATGCAAACAAACGTAATATATACAAAACTGTGCAAATAAATCTTCATGTCTAGAATTATAATTTAATTATTTGGCCTTAATGGCCAAAATTAAAAGTTGGGCGAAAAAATTTAAAACCCATAAGGCCTAAAAAAAATAGGCAATACAATTGGTGGCCGAAGCTGGACCAATGCCCACATGGGCTTTAAAAAAAATAGAATCGGGAAGCCCAAACCCAAAAAATTAGGCTGGGGTCAATTCAGGCCGAGCAGTACAAGAAGTAGGCCTTGAATTGTGCAAGATCCAACAATCCAAAACGGCAGCGATCGTGTGTTTTGCTGTGTACTAAGACATCATAGCCCCACGAGCTGAGGTTATGCGGGCCAAGCCAAAGCAATAAGCCCAAAGGAATGAAAAAAAAAACTGTTTTTTTTTTCAGGCTAGGAAGAACTAAGGCCCAATTGGGCTCGGGTGGACCAAGAAAACATCCCAGTTGCTGTTGGGTGAGCTCACAGGAAGGGAAGACAAGCGCTGCCACTTCTGGCAGTTATGTTCTGGGTCGGGACAATCAGGGAAAGTCAGGTTCCAACGGAGAGCCATGCATGAGTGATGGAGAGGGTTACTCTTAACGCCGAAGAGCCAAAAACCCACGGATTCGAAATCGGGATTTCATCAACGATGACTGCAAGTCATTGGAGTTGGTTGTGGCGGTCGTGCACAGGTCTAAGCCCAAAAGGACATGGATGACGCCATGGGTGTCACATTCTGGGTTCAATGGAGGGCTGCAGGCCTTCTTGGCTTATGGCTTGTGGCTCGGCATAGGGGAACTCAGCTGCTCGTTGGATTTCCACCAAAACCCTAGCATATTTTTAATTTTTTAGTTTTTTCAATTCAATTAAATTCAATTGCATATAATAATTCATAGTAATATCACAATATCAATTCACATAATTCAACAAGATTATGAATATAATGCATACACAATTTATGTAGAATCTAGAATTCAAAAAACGTAAAGTTGGGTCATGCATTATGGTGAATGTTCATGCTATCAGGGCTGCAAAAATATCGAGATAAAAACCGTTGTTTTGGAAGAACCTGATTGCGTGATAATATTGGTGAACTGTTTTGATGCAAAAAATTATTCCTTCAATTTTGGCTTTCCATCTCCAAAGCTTGCATCACTTCAACATAAGAAAATAAATTGAATCAATAAAAGTATATGAATTCAAGAAAATCAAAATTTAATCAATTAAAATAATTGAAACGTAATACTCATCCAATTGAAGACGAATAAATTATCTTTAGCACAGCGCGACGAACGTGCTGATAACATGTTATGGCCTATACTAAAGGGTGCGGCATAAAGAGAAAGAGAGTGGAGAATAGACTTGAGGAATTATGTGCTGATTCCCCAGTCTTTGTGCCTTTATTTATAGTAATAAAGAGGAGAAAAACTTGCTCTCTAAGTAATACAAAGTCTATTAGGAAAGATCTTCTAGATCCCAAAGGATTCCTAATCTATCTTTACTTGGGACTTACACAATCACAATATGTATTAGAACATATGTCACAACATAGTTCAAATTTAAATACTGATGTAGAGTTAGAAATCTACTAATTGTATTAGATTTAACTTTGGTAGTTTTTCCAACATAATTATTCATTCAATTTCAAATTCTACAGTAAGGCACAGACATAACTTTTAGTATCTTCTGTTAGGATGTTCATCTTGAGTTGACAGTTAGAGTTGGGTATTAGCATAAATAGTACATTGTAAGAGAAGAAAGGCAGTTGATGAATTGTATTGTTGTTCTGTTATACCTTCTCTTTGTACAATCATAGAAGATGTAGAGCAGAGTTCTAACATAGGTATCAGCCAGTCGTTTGTTCCTCTCAATAAGAGCTCTCAACCATGCCTCATGTGTGGCGTACTAAAGTTAGGTGAGTCTTGGAATAGTTTGAAGATTTCGCAACTAAGGTCATATCGTGGACCTCTAAGATATTATGATATCCTTAATGGTAAAGACATAAGGCCATCTCCAACCGAAGGCTAGACAGAGGCTCGTTTTAACCCTCTAGCCTCTAAGATATTAATATTTTAATGAACAGTACATGGCCATATTTGCCTCCATCTTCAACCGAGGGTCAAAGGGTCATAAGGCTCGTTTTAGCTCTGTCACAAAAAACAGTCTCCAACCGAAGGTCAAAGAGTCATGGGCCAAACATAAGTTATTATTTAAAAACTACAACTTAAATTCAAATCCAACAGTTAAGTGACGTCAGCTATAGGAAAAAAAAAATAGAATTTAAAAAAAAATATGAAACAAATTTTGTGAAATAGAAGTTATAGGAAAAAATGGAATTTAAAAAAAATGTGAACCAAATTTTGAAAAATAGAAGTTATAGGGAAAAAAATAGAATTTTAAAAAAATATGAAACAAATTTTGTAAAATAGAAGTTATAGGAAGTTATAGAAAAAAATTTGTAAATAAAAAAATTAAATAAAACTGTAAAAAAAAAAAATATATATATATATATATATATATATAAAATCAAAATTAACGGCTAGAATTCAAATTTTTGTTTAAGCATTCCTGTCGGATATAACCAACAAGAATATATTTATATTATATTAAATATATTCATGTCGGTTATATCCGACAGGATTGCTGGAATTTCTGGCCAGTCCTTTGGCCTTTTTCAGATTCTATGGGGCTCACAAGGCCTCTAGCCTAACCCTCTGTTGGAGACGGTTTTCGGATTATTTTCGGCCTTTTGGCCCTCTAGACCCTTCGGTTGGAGATGGCCTAATCATTTGGGGATGTGCCTTGCGTGGGTTTGATAAGTAACCTACATCAACATAAAAAATAAGGCAATCATCGTTTCGAGGATCAACGGGGTCGAATCCGCTCAGGATGCGTTGGGATTAGCCCAAATCATAGTACCTTTGAGGATCCTGAAAACGTCTTTAATATCAATTCAGTGAATGCGTGTAGGCGATGTGCTGCATTTTTACCAATAGATCAACAACGAAAGAGATGTCATGTCTAATGCAATGAGCTAAATACAACAAAGCGCAAAGTTGAACTCAAATATGGAACTTCGGATTCCATAACCTCTTCAAGGGTCTTCTTTGCATATAGCGTATGAAAGATTATAGATATGCTCAAAGGTAACACCTTCGGGGTGTAGTTCGACTGGTAGACCAGAATACTATTAGAACAACTCTTAAACTTCAGGTCAAGATATAAACGAATTTTCCTAAGATCTTTCTTTAATCTACTCATGTTATGGCATTTCAAAAATGAAAGCCACTTACTTTCAATCTTTTAGAACAAATTAGCTTTGTAAAGTAACAAGACAAGGATATTTCAAGAGGAAATACTATTGTTTGCTTTGCTCAGATAGTTCTGTTTAGATTAATCAATGTTTTAGTACACTTTGAAACCTGAGTTTTATATCTATTATCTTCAATTTAAACACTTCTAGAAAGTTATAGATACATTCATTAGTTCAAATTTAAATACTAATGTAGAGTAAGAAATCTACAAATTGTACTAGATTTCACTTTGGTAGTTTTTCCAACATAATTAGTCATACAATTTCAAATTCTACAGTAAAGCTCGGACATAATTTTTAGTATCTTCTGTTAGGATGCCAAGAGAAGAAAGGCAGTTAATGAATTGTATTGTTGTTCTGTTATACCTTCTTTTTGTACAATCAGCTAGTCGTTCGTTCCTCTCAATCCTTCTCTATTGTATAACGTGGTAAACATCATATAAGACCATGGAATCAAGAGTTTCCAATCTGAAAACCAAGTTCGATGGATTCAAGACTTCTCGGGCCAAATTTCGGAATGAATTCAGGACTACCCAGGATTTAATTCTTCTTCAATTGTAGTTGCTTATGGCGAAATATAGTGGTGAATCTTCTACAGCTGCACCGGTGCATCAGCCATTCATCAAGATGACATCTCCCATCTCCCTTGTGAAATTGAATCAAGTCATTCTCAAGCTTCAATCCTTCCACGAGGAAAAGATTCAGGCCCGAGAGAAAGCAGACGAGTTCTTCTCTCAGTTTCGTCAGAGATACAAGCCTAAGAGCTGTCCTTATTTGCGACCCACATTGAAGAAATTCAAGAAGGTTCGCAACAAATACCACAACGACAAGCAACGCGAAGCCTCTTACCAATTCTTGGCTTTCAATCATTACTACCAGCAACAAGGCTACTTCTTGATTCTACTTGCATTCTGGGTTTTGCATTCCTTGTATCTAATGTGCAAAAGTCGAATTTCACAGATCATGGGTACGAAATGGTTGATTCTATCAAAGAAAGATTCAAGTCTCCTAATTTTTCTATATCTGATGGAATTATTATAGATTTTCAGATCCGTTTCGACATGGGTTTCATTCTTGTTGCGAAACAGATGTTAATTCTAGCAGAAGTAGTTGGCGTTCGCTTGGGCCACAACATGTTCGACGAATTGCCGCACTCAACAAATACTTCTGTTCTTTAATTTGGCTATCATATGCCGATTTCTGACTCGAGGGGTACACTTATTACTGGGCATTTTACTTCCAAATTTCAGGTCAAAGATGCTTACAATTCTACATTTCTTGTTTGTAATGGTGAATTTTTTCAAAATGGTACCACGAATCCTCGGGACAAAATTGAACTGGTTGTTCATAATTTTGTGATAAAAAAAATGATGAATCCAAGATAATGGTAGTGGGTTTTGTGGGTTCCTATCAGTTTATGAAAGCATAGCCATCAATACTTAAGGATGAATGCCAAAAAGAATCGGTTGGAATGTATGCCCACCATGTGTTTGTTGGAATGCAGCAAACATTCAAAATTGTTTCTTTGGAGTTTGGCTTCCATGTGTACATGTGTGACAAAGGCGGAACAACTATTCAAGGGCTCTTTAATTTGAAATCTTCAAGGGAAGTTGAAACCACTTCGGTGGAAACAAATGCTACTGCTCAACTGGTTGATGCACTGCAGATTTTAGGTGGTTTTTATAATGATGCAATTGTTGTTGTTGGTTTTGAATTCAACTACCTTATGGGAATTCGAGACAAGGGTGGAGGGTACTCAATCATATCTGAGTATAAGATGGTATTAAGGTTTGTTAGGACAAAAGTAGCAAATGATTTTTGTAGACATTGAAATTTCGGTGGCATAAATGTTAGCCATTGCATTAAGATTACATTTGTAAACATTGAAATTTTGGTGAAATAAATGTTGACCATTGTATTAAAATTACAACCTTCATTCACTTCACCTACATCATACACTAAGTTCACCTACAACATCCACCAAGTTTCACCTACAAACATCCACCAAGTTTCACCTACAACATCCACCAAAATTCACCTACAACATCCACCAAAACAAATGGATGGTGGTGATTCGTTCCCAAAGCCTATAAATAGGCTCCTCCATCAAAGAATCAAGAAACCAATTCACAAATACATTTCTCTACTCCCAAAATGGAAGAGAATACTCCCCACACATCAAAAATCCTTGAAGCTTTGAAACTCTAAAGCTCTCAAGCAAATCTCGAAGGATCAAGAAAGCCCTCTTCGTTCTTCGTCAAATCCTCCTTCAAGATCAAGCCCCAACGGCCCTTGAAGAAATTCCTCCTTCAAGATCAAGCCCCAACGGCCCTTGAAGAACTTCCACCAATTCAAGATCAAGCCTCGACGGCCCTTGAAGAAAGTGTTCAACAAATCCACACAATTGTTCATCCTAAGATCAAGCCCCGACGGCCCTTTTGGATCAACAACATCACCAAATCCACATAATTGTTCATCCTAAGATCAAGCCTCAACGGCCCTTTGGATCAATAACATCAACAAATCCACACAACTGTTCATCCTAAGATCAAGCCCCGACGGCCCTTTTGGATCAACAACATCACCAAATCCACCAATTCAAGATCAAGCCCCGACGGCCCTTGAAGAAAGCACCATCGTTCATCATCCGTTCATCCAAGATCAAGCCCCGATGGCCCTTGGATCAACAAACATCAACAAATCCACACATCCAACCGTTCTTCAAGATCAAGCCCAAAAGCCCTTGAAGATCCGTTCATCACCAATTCAAGATCAAGCCCCGACGGCCCTTGAAGAAAGCACCATCGTTCATCATCCGTTCATCCAAGATCAAGCCCCGACGACCCTTGGATCAACAAACATCAACAAATCCACACATCCAACCGTTCTTCAAGATCAAGCCCAAAAGCCTTTGAAGATCCGTTCATCACAGTTATTCAAGATCAAACCTTAACGGCCCTTGAAGAAACACTCATCCTTAAGATCAAGCCCCAACGGCTCCTTGAAGATCCGCTCAAATCCACCTTCAAAGATCAAGCCCACGGCCCCTTGAAGAAACTTCCAACAGTTCATCCAAGATCAAGCCTCGACGGCCCTTGGATCAACGAAACATCCACAAATCAACACCTTACGGAGATCGAATCAGAGGATCAAATTTGAGAGAGATTGTAACCCAAAATCATCAAACACAAATATTATTTTGTACACGTTGTTCTTGTCTCTTTCGTTTCAAGAATTTTCCGTGTTCACAAATTGGCACGCTCGGTGGGACAATCTCTACCTCTCATCTCTTTCTCCGTTCAAGGAATCCAAACACACCTCAAAGTCAATGGCATCAAGCAAGGGACAAGCAGTTCTCGCAATCACTGAGGGAAGGATCCTAAGCACTTCTGCCGCAAATGGACAATCCATTGGCGCCACAACCGCTCATCAACATGCCACTTCAAAGTTGGTGCCGCTAAAAGAGCAAAGGGAGCATCAAAGGTGTGAGTCTGTCATCAACCTGACATCGTTTGGGGCACCGAAGCATGCTGTTGAGGCACACAAGATGACATCCCAAAACAACCAACGACGTTCTTCGTCAGCATCTTGGATGTCTAAAGGAAAGTCACGTCTATTGGTTGCACAAGTCATGACCATCGGCGTTACCTCAATCGAAGAACAACTGGCTCAAATGAATGAAGCAATCGCAAGGCTAACCCGAACTGTGGAAGAAAAAGACTTGCAAATCGCTGCACTCGTCAGTCGACTGGAGCCACATGACGGCGAGAACCCTAACCCAGAAGATGAGCCTACGGTGGAGAGAATTGATGTGAAGCCGGAGCCAGACCAAGAAGCGGCACTCATGGGATCTCTTTCTATCCAACAGTTACAAGAGATGATTGCCAGCACCGTCAAGGCACAGTACGAAGGGAGCTCAAATACCTCCGGGTTGTACTCAAAGCCTTATTCAAAGAAGATTGATGCCCTAAAGATCCCGAGGGGATATCAACCACCAAAGTTCATGCAGTTTGATGGAAAAGGAAACCCAAAGCAGCACGTTGCACATTTCGTCGAAACTTGCAACAACGCGGGGACGGAGGGAGACTACCTCGCCAAGCAGTTTGTGCGCTCACTGAAAGGAAACGCATTTGAGTGGTACACGGACCTAGAGCCTGAGTCCATCAACAGCTGGGAACAGTTGGAAAGGGAATTCCTCAACCGCTTCTACAGCACCCGCCGCACTGTGAGCATGCTAGAGCTAACAAGCACAAAGCAGTGGAAGGACGAGCCAGTCATTGACTACATCAACAGATGGCGCACTCTAAGCCTCGACTGTAAAGACAGGCTATCGGAAACCTCTTCAATCGAGATGTGCATCCAAGGCATGCAATGGGGTTTGCAATACATCCTTCAAGGCATTAAACCACGGATCTTCGAGGAATTGGCCACCCGCGTCCATGACATGGAGTTGAGCATCGCCCATCATAGGAAGAAGGAACCGATCGCCGACTACAAGAACGACAAAATTCTTGAGAAAAAGGTGGAGAAGGCTATGTGGAAATCCACCAAGGAAGCAATGATAGTCAACACATCTCCCGTCAAAATCCCTACACGAGGCAAGGCGATTCAAGCTGAAGCTTTTCGTGATCAAGAGATGCATAGACGCACTTTGAAGGAGCTTGAGGAGAATCATCGAGCTAGATCTTGACGATGTGGTGAAGTCAAACTATACCACCATCACTTCTGGCTCTTCCGACTCAAAATTTTTACCTCAACCTCAGGGGGCATCCTCCAAGACAAGCAAAGTTGAAGGATGGACTCAAGTCACTCCTAAGAAATTGCACAAGAAGCATACGTCTCCTCCACAAGTCCGCCAATCGGAAAGGGGGCAAAGCAGCTATTGTCAACCTTCAAAGCAACGTGAACGTGTTGAAGATGATGAAATTTCGAGATATAGATCGTCCATCCCCATCACGATGCGTGATTTCTTTCCCAAAGACTTCTTCAATCACTCGGTCAAGGCTCCTTGCTATGAAGATTGTGAGGAACGCCTCTCCAAAATTGCTTGACAAAATTCACAAATTCTCCTCGCCCGCACGAGTCTAAACTGCATGGCACAAAGCTCCTGGTCTGTACGAGCATAAAAGGAAACACCAATGCTCCTTGTTCGCACGAGCCTAAACTGCACGAACCAATGCTCTTTGTTCGCACGAGCCTAAACTGCATGAACCAAAACTCCTGGCCCGCAAGAGCATAAACTGTGTACGGTAAAATCATCATCAAAATTACTGTTAAATTCATCACTCATTTGAACTACGTTATGGCTTGATCTCTTCTTTGGAAGGGTACGTAGGCGGCTCGAACATTCAATTTCGAGTTCAGTCATATCAAAATAAAAAAAAAATATAAAAGTTTTATTAAAGAAAGTCAATTTTATTACAAAAGAATAAATAAATAAATACATATGTTATTATGTATTTACAAAAAAAAAAAAAAACAAAAAAAAAAAAACAAATGCATTGAGAGAAATAAAGTCCGTTTTTATTTATTTTTTCTAGAAATTTTACATAAATTTGCATTCTACATACTTAAAAAAAAAATCAAATCAAATTTACAAGAGGGGATCTTCAAGGACGATCAAGTGCCGCCTCACCACTCGGCAGAGCTCCAGAAATGAGAGGCGCCAGAGGTTGACTGTTTGAAGCCACACCACTCGGCGGAACTCCAGGAAGAAGAAGAGCCAAAGGTTGATCATTTGGAGCTTCATTACGCGGTACAGCCCCAGAAGACGAAGGCAAATGCTGCTGGAACAAACCCACAAACCTCTGATGATCAAGTAAAATCTGACCATCAGATTCCTACATCTGGTTAATCTTCCTCTTCATGTTTGTCGCATAGCTATGTGCGAGCTTATGCAACTGTTTATTCTCCTGCTTAAGCCCTCTAATCTCCTGTTTGAGACTCATCACTTCAGCCGCCAATGATTCAACTTGACGGGTTCGAGTAAATAGGCGTTGGGCCATATTAGACACAGAACCTGCACACTGCACACTGAGAGCCAGATAATCCTTAACAGCCAACTCATCAGACCGTTTGGAAAGTAGTCTGTTATCTCTGGGAGTGACAAGGTTTCGGGCCACCACTGCAGCGGTCATATCATTCTTCACCACCGAATCCCCAACGGTAAGAGGACCAGTAAGGGATATGAAGGATGGGCGCCATATGTTATCTGGAGAAGACGGGACTACCTCTTCACCAAGGTTCAAATCAAAACGACGGTCGGAGGGTCCAGACATTTTCAAAGGTGTTGAAGAAAGAAGAGGTCGGACAAATCAAGATCTTAGAAGTGCAAGAAGGGAGTTTCTACAAGCGAAAATTCAAGTGTGCTTTGAAACGAACTGCGTGCCTCTATAAAGATCAACACTC